GTCTTTTAAAGAACACAGGTCTTTCAGCTGAAGTCCAACTTCAGTAAGATTTGTTCTCCAAAGTCATGAGTCCATGGACAATTCTGGGATATTGCCTTAACTGAGCCTTGTATCCCAGAAAGCTATTATCCGAAGCATTGCCTTCAGTTGGCCCTGTGTTTCAGCTAAAGTCAATCTTTAGTAAGACTTGTATTCCAGAAGCACTGCCTTCAGTTGGCCCTGTGTTTCGGATTCCCATTTTAAAGAAGTGAAGAAATTGTTTATTCAGCTGAAGCCATACTTGCAAGAAGCACTATCAGTGCAAGTTTATGTTCGGCAGAATGAAAGAAACAGTAAAGCATTCAAAAACAAAGCAGCTGAAGAAAAGAGCATCAAATTAATAATTTATGCTCAGAAATTGAGCTACAAGTTCAATTAAACTGTATCGTCAGCCGCCCACAAGCGGAAAATAACAGCTGCCGAAATACGTACATAAGCAAAAAAATAAACTGTTGTACGACAAGGCAAGCTGAAGCAAAAAACAAGGCAAAAAATTCAGAAAGCGGCAAGTCTAAAGTTAAGCGCATGATGAACCGCAAGATTCTGAAGACGACTGCCCGAGTTCCTATGCTTCAGCCCGAGGATCAGACTGATCAGCGTTGTTGAGCCCCATGGTGGCCTCAGCCCCAGCAGCAGAAGAAGCAGGCTTTGCACTCTGCCGAGCCTCCCTTTCCCTCTGTTCAGCCTCCAACTCCATTCTCTCAGCTTCCTCTTCGGCTTCCTCAGCCTTAAGAATTTCAGCTTCGACTGGAGTTGCATACTTCATATGAGGGTCTTCGGGATTCTGGACCCATTCAGCACATTTGGACCAGTCCAGCTTCGGCTCAGCATGAAGGCAGACTCTTCGGCATACTCTGAACCCGTTTCTGAAACCCATTTCATATTCTTCCTGGGTATAGACACGGACTTTGAGTAGAGCCTCAGCATCAGCCAGCTTCTTCTGGGTCTCCTCCAAGTCTTCCTTGGATTTCTTCAGCTCATCGGCGAGCTTGGAGGAGGAACCTTTCAGCTCATTCAGCTCCTGCTGAACTTGGGAAGTCTTTGTCTGAGCCTGGGCCACTTCTACTTTTTTGGCCATCAGTTGATCCTCAGCCTCATGGAGATTAGCTCTCTGAGCTTCAGCAGCAGCAGCAGCCTCTGAGAGTTGGACATCCCTGGCCTGGAGCAGCTCTTCAGCAGCCATTCGGCTGGCTTCAAGAGCTTCTAGTCGTTGCTGCACTTCAGCTTGTGCAACAGCTCCTTCCTGAATACGGCTCTCAACGACAGCCTTGAATTTGGAGACGTCCACTCCCATGTGCTCCTGGAGGAATTTTTCCCCTTCCATCAGTGGGGGAAAAACTTCTTTCTCCATAGCGTCGCAGAAGGTTTTGAGGGCTTCAGCAGCTTTTTTCTCGTACTCCTCACCCTTCTGCTGCTTCTCTTCAGCTGCTGCTTGCTTCAGCTTAGCAAGCTTTAATTCCTCCTCAGCTACCTTCTTGTCGTGCTCGGCAGCATCTACCCTATCTTGTAGGGTATCTATCAGCTCTACAGTGAGAGTCTGATTGTGCACGAACTGAAAACAGGAGCACAAGTGTTAAAAAATAAAAGTAAATAAAAATAGAGCTGAATTTTAGAGGAAATAAAGGCAAGGAAAATCACCTGCATCATCAGCAGTTGGTTAGACCTGGCTGGGTCAGGAACTGATCTGCTGGATTCGCCCATCCCAGCAGTGGCCTTCAGCGACCAGATTCTTGCCCTATCTACTTCGGACATGCCAGCAAAATCGCCGAAGTAGGCTGCAACACCTTCACGGTTCTGACCCCATATGAGGTCCCAGATGTGATCTGGGATTGGAATTCGGGGGGCCGAGAAACCCATTTCTCCAGATTGCAGAGTCTGGAAGGAGGGAAAGGATGACGATGGAGCTTGTTTAGCTTTAGATGGCTCAACATCATCCTTTTCAGAAGAGTCAATTACTATGACCTCTTCTTCTTCAGGGGTGAGGACGAAAGCCTCAACCTCTCTTGCAATGTCTGCCGTGAAACCCTCAGCACTGGGCATCACGGCATCCTTATTTTTGTGCTCAGCAGCACTCTCCTGAATTTCTTCTTGGACCCCTCCCTTAGATTCGGGAGTTCTCTGATCCACCTCCATCTCAGGAGGTGGCGGAGGGGTCTTTTGAGGTGATTGGGGTGGTGGCCGGGGAACCCTCGACGATCCATTGCCTTCCTCGGGTTCCCTTATTTCAACGCCGATGGTCATCGGCCTCCGCTGAAAGTCGTGAGGGCCGATGATGGCCATTCTTCGGCGCCTTTTCTGAAGAGGCTGCTCGTCCATGTCTGAGTCTGAAGACTCTTCTTGTATTTGGTCTTCGGGACGAACAGGGGCTTTCCCTTCTCTGTGTCTGTTACTCTCTTCAGACTGTAACAGACAAGGGGGAGGAAGAATGTGAGTAAAAAAAAAAAAAAAAGAGAAAAAAGAAGAAAGACAAAGTTAAGTCTGAAAGCTCACCGAGGTCTTCAGCAAAGCCTCGTCTTCTTCAGCTGCCCTAGCTGCAGCTTCTTCTTCAGCAGCTCTGGAGGACCCTTCTCCTCCTTCGCAAGCTTCGAGAACCCGTGCAACCTCTTCGGCTGTACGGGCAGCTTCAGCTTCTTCGTCCAGCAGCTGAAACCAGGGGTCTCTCTTCTTCCACCAAGGCTTCTGCCTCTGATACAGAGCAACAACCTCAATTTGGAAGTGGGAAGAGTCTAGATGAACTTCCCTATGCCTCGGTTCAGTGATAGACGGGGCCCGATCAGTTACAACTCGTTCTCGGTTGACACCAAGACGAGCGTAGTCAATGCCAACGTTGGTCTCGTCCCGCTCTGAAAAAGAGAAGGGGAAAGGTCAGTTCAGATAGGTTGGCACAGCATAAAAAAGCGAAGCGAGAGAAGAAAAATAGATAATTAAAAAGCCTCGGCCCCAGCCGAAGAAGCTTACCATCCTTAAACTTTCGGCTGAGGCCAACAGCTGCTAGCATGTTCTCTTGGAAAACATAATGCGTATCGGGGAGCCAAGTCTCCGGGATATGCTGCATTCGGCCGCTGCCCCCCCCGGTTCGGCAGCTTGCCGAAGATATGTTGTTGATCAAGGTTCGGATCCGGCCCGTTTTCTGCGGGGGGACCTAGACTTCCCATGTCGGGATCAGGCTCAGCAAGGTACCGGGGAGCGCTGAAGACGCAAGGGTGGCCCGGATCTGTGGGTGCCCAAACCCAAATCCATTGACCTCTCCAGTCCTTGTCTGAAGAGTCGTTCGGCCACATGGTTAGGTACTGGGGCCGGGACTCAATCCGGTACCACCCAGAACCATGGCTTCCGTGCCCACTTTGAATATTTGGCACTAGCCGATGAAGCTTTTTGAAGCAGTGCAGGTTCGGCACATACTTGAAGAACTTGCAGACCCATAAGTATGTCATCACCCTTCGGATGCTGGTGGGAGTTAACTGACATAGGGAGATATTGTAATGGATCAGCAAGTCTCGGACGAATACGTCCAAAGGGAACCTCAGCCCGTACTGAAGCTGTCTTGTGTACACCCCCACATACCCCGGGGGTGGACGATGGATTCTATCAGATGCCGCGGGCATTCGGCACCAATACCCATCAGCTTCAAAAATGCCGTAATGCAACTCAATTTTCTCGGCAAACCGATATTGTTCGGCATTCTCCACCCACCATGAGTAGGGGCGGTTCTTTATCATGGCCGAAGCTACTTCGGCATTCTCCCACTCTGAAAACCCGGGGAGGATATCCCAAAGGACAGCGGGAACTTCATCATCCCGTCCAGAAGCGCTTGGCCCCTCCGTTCTCTGAGGAGGAGCCGAGGAAATTGGAGTCGCCCTAATCCCTTCAGCAGGGTCAGACTCTGGCCTTTGTCCATTCCAGGTCCCAATCCTGTTCCTAGGATCGGGAATTGGCCTTGCTCTTCTTGGAGCACGGGCTCTACCTCTAACTCCTCTTGCCATTGATTATTTCGAAGAAAAAAGTCGAAAAAAAAGGGAAGGAGTTCGAATTCGAAGAAAAATAAACTGAAATCAAAGGAATTTACCTTAATCTGAAGCGAAAGTTGCCGATTTACGAGTTCGTAGTGGCAAGTCTCAGTTTCTAAGCTTAATGCTCGGGGAATTTGCGAAGTTTTGATGCGGGTTCTTGGTTTCTCTCGAGAATTCTGGGTTTGTGTTGGTGAATAAGTGAGGAGAGATGACGCGCCTCTGTTTATATCTCCAGGAATGGGATACGGGGAGTCCGCGTTTCAATTTCTCTTAAATACCCCACTAAGTAACCGTTAAACACACGATCTTGCGATTAAACTGCCCATTATCCGTCCAACTTCCACCATCATCCGCCTTAACCGTTGTTATCTCATTAATTACGGTTTAAATTCAAATTTTTGGATTAATTAAATCATTTACTTCCCTCCTTTTCTGAATTAAATCAAACCCGACCCGTCATCCTTCCAAATCGGGTCTGGGGGGCAAGTTGTTTGGGTCCAATTTAGTCCAATTGGGCCTAGGCATTAAATGATCCAATTAAAAGCCCAAGGTCAAGGTTCAACTCTCCAATTGTGCTAAAGTCAAAGGTCAGCCCTCAAAGCAAGCCAATTGGGCTAAGGCCCAACCTCTCCATGTATGAAGAGGTATAAAAGCCATCAATATTCATACATTCAGGTATGGATTCACAGATTCATATATTCTCATAGATCCCCATACATTCTCATATATTCAAGCAAAGCCTCAAGCAACTAATTCTCTTGCATAGTGTTCTCTTTCTACACATTGTACTGACTTTAGCATCGGAGGGGCCTTCTCCGGCAACACCCCCGAGGCTAGTTTACGTGTGTTTACTGTGCAGGAAACCTTCGGCCCAGCATAACTTGGACCGAATCCAGTCTTCTCCGTTTCAGCGGACCTACGGCAAGGTCCCATTGTTTTCACCCGAAACACTTGTAATAAAAACAAACTACTACCAAGTACCAACTAATACTACTAATGTCTGGCTACTCAAAACAATACAGAACTGAAGGAGCTTAAGGGCAGTAATGAATAGTTTTTCCATCCTTCACATCACTACTCGTCTTCATCTGCTTCTCCATCGTCTTCATCTTCGTCTGGAAGGGTCGTCTGGAATACATGTGCATTCTGTGCTTCAGGCTCTGGTTCACAAGTCCACGACTGGGAGACTAGCACCTTATCCCAGTTTGTTGTGCTTCCAGTCTCAGAACCCGGAAGAAAATAAGTCGTTTCTCCCAAAACCGGCTGCTTAAGTGCCTCAGAGCTTAAATCTGTCATTGCCTTACACACTACCCTGTATGTCAATGCTAGAGGTATTCCTCCAGACTTGACATTTACGGTAAGGACATCTAATGAAGAAGCATCGGCCAAAGAGACCGAAAAGCTAGGGAAGCAATTAAAATAGATTGGACCCTGAGACAGATTTGCTTCCACAAGTGCTAACAAAGAGTTCTTAAAGCTAGAGTGCCTCGCGTCTCTAACACACACGATTATTGGAGCTTCTAAGCCATCTCTCATCAGTGGCTTGATAGATATTTGGACCAAACCCAAGTGCATAAAATTATGTTGCTTCTTTATGAAGCCTTTTAGAAAATCCCTAGTAAGTAATTTAGCTGATACATTTTGGTTAGCAGCTTTCAGTGTGATTGTTTGTTCATAGTCTCTTACAGCATAGCTTGGAAATATCCTAAATACTTTTTTCTTGTACACTTGATCAATGGGGATTTTCGGAAACTTCCAACCATCAAGGTTTTTTTTTATTTGGGAGCCTTCCTCTTCATTTGCGTGTTTAGTTGTCATTGATCTACCCTGAAAATAATAAAAATTTAGAACTTATACCTCACCAATAAATACATAAATAAAGATATAGAAATAAGAGTAACAAACTGGATTATTTATAACTTACTCAGCCTAAAATATATTGTCACGTTGATAGAGTAATTTGATTAAAATCGTGATAACCAAATCCGTAGTACTTACCAATCTGCACCCACTGCTTGACTAGATTTTCAGAGATATCAAAAGCAGAATTTTCACACACTTAGCTTTTGTAAAAACCTTGTTGCTTCCTATGTTTGCCTTAGTGATGTTAAGATTATTTATAATGGAAAAACAGGAGAGGCTTTTACACTGTAGAGTTCTCCTCCTAGTACATTATTTTATGTTTTCTGTGTTTATTTCCAAGCAACTACATGGTAATCAATTACTAAAAATATAATTTAAACTTTTAATCATTGTCCTTGCATTCTTTTAGTGGTTTTCTTATAGACAAAAAAGGCTCAATCTTATCTTGATTCCTACCATTGTAGTTTCCTTCCCATTTCTTGTGTCCTTATCATAAGGTCTTCCTAAAGTCTACTCCTTTCCTTAACATAGCCACTTACTACAAATGAAAGCTAGTCCTTTTTAAGGTGGTTGAGCCAGGATAAAAGAGAAAGAGGTAGTCTTTTTCTGAAGTGCATGAAACAGGGTCAAGGATGTAGACCTCATCAATACATCACTCGGCTAAATTCTAGAGAACGTCACTCTGCTGGATGCTAATGAGGTCATGCAACTTATTTTGGAGAAAAAGGATGAGTACAATGTATGATATAGGTATATCGTATATGCTTAATTAGAGGTGTCAATTTGGATAATCGGATGGAGTTTGGGTCGGGTCTGTTCAGATCGGATATGTTCGGGTCAAAATTATTCTATTAACTCGGGTCGGGTCGGGTTAAATTCGGGTCATGGTCTATCGAGTCCGGGTCGGATATGGGTCGAGTCAACTCCAAATCGGTCTGGTTTGAGTTCAAGTCAGGTCATATCGAGTTCTGTTTGAGTTCAAGTCAGGTTAAATCGGTGTCGGGTTAAGTTCAGATCAGGTTAAATTCGAATTTGGATTAAGTTCGGGTCGGTTACAGCTCGGATTTGGGTCCTAAATTTCTCAGGTCAAACCGCATCGATTACAGTTTGAAACGGACAATTTTTTTCGAATCGGTTCGATTTTGACACCTCTATGCTTAATGTGTTGTATAGTCCAATATTAGCTTAGGGATGTTTTGGACTCTCTGAATTTGGTCCAATTAAGACAAAATAAAGAGGACACGAGGAGAAAGGAATAGTGATGAATTTGATTAATTTGAAATTCTAAGTTTTTTCCAAACAGCGAATTTGTAATTGAATGTCAGTAATTCAAATTCCAGATTTGAAATTCTTTTAGACAAAAATTTGAAAGGAAAAGAAAATAAACGAATTAAGGATCCAAGTTCTGTTCTATTTCAAAATAGAGTAATAGACAGATGATTATAAATGAACTAGTAGAAGATAATAAACAATTTTTTTTGATGTGTAGCTAACATGTCATGTATGTGTGATAAAATCACTATTATTATTCCATTAGCATAATGTTGTTATTATACATCTGAAAAGAGACTAATGCAACATGCTTGGCTACTCAAAACAGTACTGAAAGTCAGAAACTGAATATAAACTTTCTGATCTGCTTCTCTAGTTGATGGAAACCTCATGAGTCATCACACGGCCTCCTCGAAGCGTCTCGACTCAATTCCGATAACTCTGCGAGCTTAACCCCGGCGGTACGATGGAAAAAACCCAATAATCTGGAATATGCACCTGATTCCATATAGTCGTGTTTGGAGTCCCAGTAATCGGTTGAAAATAATCTGTTTCTCCTGAAGTTCGGCTCGAAAATCTGTACCGTGGATGTTCCATCACCTCACATACTACCCTGTATGACAATACTAAATCTATATCACCCATCAACACATGTAAACTAAGGGCATCCAGAGATAACTCGGCGTCGCTCAAATAAAAGCGTATATCCGGATAGCAGTTAAAATAAAAAGAACCTTGAGATAGATCTGTATCTACAAGTGCTAACAAGGAATCCTGGAAGTTTGAAAATCTAGCATCTCTAAGACATACTTTTATAGGAGCTTTTAAGAAGCCCTTTTTCTGCAATGGCCTAATAGCTATTTGAACCAAACCCAAGTGTAAACTCCTTTTTTGCTGCTTGATAAAACCTTTTAGTAGTTTTATGCATATATTTTGGCTATTGGCTTTCAATGTGATAGATTGTTCAAAATCTTTTACAACATAACTAGGAAATATCCCACATAATTCTTTAAATCTTGACCAACAATAATAACCAGTTTGATCCTCCAAGAACTTGTTATCTATACACCAATCGTACACTCGATTGACCGGGATCTTAGGAAATTCGGTGCCTTCCTCTGCATCATCGATAAGCGCAGTAGCCATTGATCTTTCCTGAAATATAATGACACATAGAAGGTTAATACATCAGATTATTCAGATATAGTAAGTTACTTCTACATATGTATATAACATATAAAGTAGAGCTAATCAACTTTGACTCGGACGATTTTGGGCGGTATCTTTTAGCTCAATATCGAATTTGGGTGGCAAGGGAAAGGCTAATTTCTTGGCAATCACCATTCACCACCAAAACTAAACAAAGTGTAATTTACTTCTTTTTGCTAAAAAATTAAGGGAGATCAAGGGTAGAATACTCACACTACACACTCAAACTGTTTTTAAGACTAAAGCATTAAACTCTTAGTTGGTGCCCCAAGCAAGCCCCCTATAATGTATGACTTTAAGATGCCAAGAAACATATATTATTGGTAAAACAAGGGGCTGCTAATACATGGTATTCTTTGTCTATCACAATATTTTAATGTAAAGATAAGATATAATCATTGTTTAATTGTTTTTCTATTTCTTGGCAATCTCACTATATTACCCTATTAGTTTGTCCTATTTAATTTTTTACGATCTTCAAGACATGTATTAAATAAAAGGAAATTTTCACTTTTGTTACCACTCAAACACTTAACACCCTTATTTCACTTTTGCTACCCATCTAAAATTTTATTTTATTTTGCTACCACCTAAAATCACATAAGATAAATTTTAGTACCACTTAACAGAATTCGTTAGGGTTCCGTTAAGTTTATTCAAAAATAAAAAAATTTAATAAAAAAAAAACCAGCCACCCTCAACTGCCCAGCCCCTTCCGTCAGCCACCCTCCCCCTCCCGTCAGTCGGCTCCTAAAATATTTAAATTTTGGCTCCTAAAAACACAATAAGACAGGATAATCTTTATGGGACAAAAGGAATAGCCAGAAGTATATCTTTAAACACAGTGAGGCAAAAAAAATAAAAATAAATAAATAAATAAATAAATGGAAAACACACCATTAATGCCAACTAGTACTAATATTTATTCATAGCATGAGATTCAATAATGTCTTCAACATCATCTGCCTAGTTGAATGACTTGAATCTGATGGGAAACTCTACATGACATGATCACACGACCATCTTTGCTCAAGGATCCGGATCTGATGTACAAGTCCACGACTCTGGGATTTGCACTTGATCCCACTTAATTGTGGTTTGAATTCCAGTGTCCAGTTGAAAATAAGTTGTATCTCCCAAAATCGGCCCCTTCAATGCATCTGAGCTTAAATTCTCCATCGCCTTACACACTACCCTGTATGTCAACGCTAAGGGTTCCCCTCCAGTCTTGACACATAGAGAAAGGGCTTCTAGCGTAGAAGCATCATTCAAAGATACTGAAAAACTAGGAAAGCAATTTAAATAGAATGGACCCTGGGACAAATTCGATTCCATAATTGCTAACAAAGAGTTCTCAAAATTAGAGATCCTCGCGTCTCTAAGACACACAGCTAACGGACCTCCTAAGCCATCTCTAATAAGAGGCTTGACGGCTACTTGAACCAAACCCAAGTGCATAAACCTATGCTGCCTCTTGATGAAACCCTTTAGGACATCCCTAGAAAGTAATTTAGTCGATACATCTTGGCTAGAGGCTTTCAATGTAATGGTTTTCTCGAAATCTTTTACAACATAGGTTGGAAAAATCTTAAATATATTTCTCTTGTACAATTGATCAACAGAAATCTTAGGGAATTTCCAACCATCTAGGTTCTTCACTCTTTGAGTGTTTCCTTCCACTTCATTGGTAAGCTTAGTAGCCATTGCTTTGCACTGAAAATTTGATAACATAAAAAAAAAAGGTTATATATATGCTATGATACTAAATCCATGTATTATATACATACACAATATTACAATAAGATACAAAAACATCAACAAAATTTCAGAACATACCGATTTGCATGCACAAACTTCTTGGCAAGATTTGAACATCAAAACGATCCAAAGGTAATATATTTGCACACAAGTTTTTGTATCAGTGCTTTCGATGTTTGCATTAAGTATTTTATTCATGTTATGAACATTTATAAATGGAGGCACAAAGAGCATTCACAATAGAGAATCATTTTGGAAAGATTTTTTTGAATTATTGCTCTTGACATCATTGGTTCTCCTTGTTAAGAAATATTTGGATCTTGATTTCTTTCCCTAACAATCTGATAACCCATATCAACCCTATCCAATGTATGTCCAACAATTGAAAATACCAAATTTGCACTGTCTTGTAACAATCACATCTATGTACCAATGACTTATGACTCGATGTGGTATTAGCCAAGTGGTAAAGACTTAGGGCTTATAGATGATTGGTTACAAGTTCGAAATAGTACCACTCCCCCCATTTGTAATTTTTAATGCCCTTATTTGGACTTCAAAAAACACATTTATGTAAAGGAAACAACAATAATTGTGTTGCTTTCCACATTCATACCCCCACAATTATATTTATTTTAGACAATAATCATATCATCTATTATCTCTCCCTATTAGTATTGTAAAAGATCATGATTCATGAGCCTTATTTTGTATATTTCCGTATATGCATTAACACTATTTATAACCACGACTATACTGTTGTTTTTTTTCATCCAATGTTATAAGGCATGCTTTTGACCAATAATATCTTCAATTACATATCAATTTAGCTTATAAAATACTAGTTGATATCTTGAAAATGCACGTTAAAGCAACTCTAATGTACACCCAATAAGTCTTGTGTAAGGCGGGTGTACGTTAATATTATAGTAAGACGGTCAGTTTGAGGATAATTTTAACTATTTTAATGGTAACTTTAACCCGTTAAAGTGTAACTTTTAATTTGTCATTGGTATGAATTTTATTTTTATGTGTATGATTACATACTATAAAGGCTAATATGATTAATCTAATACATTATAATTTTTTTTGTTAGATAAAATTTATTATTAGAAAAATAATAACTTTTGTAGTATAAAAGGTAACTTTAAGTACTTTTAAGATAATTTTAAACCGTCTTACAATAAATTAACGTATACCCGCCTTTTTGAAAAGTTTGTGAATTTACTCTTGATTATATTTTTCCTTATATATAAGGTTGACATTAAAAAGTCAAATGTGGCCCTTAATACTCATACAATATTTTTTTTGTGGTAAGAGAGCCACAAGGGTGGGGGTGAAAATCGATTCTAGGATTTCATGGAATCGGAAAGAAAGATCTAACCACTTGAGCTATCCTTTACTCTCATTATATGAATATATGATTAATACTTTTATTCCAGATAGATTCGGTCCACTACCATTAAGCATATCCTAGCTTGTAATAAGTCATCAAATAAATATCAACACCCTCAAAATTAGCAACAGTTTTCTTCCCAAAAGTATTACAGTACCGTGCAATACAAATTCTGAAACTCTAAAAAGTCTCGAACATATCATATATTTGTTCAATTCAACACTGAAAAATATGGAGGAATCATATCTTATCTACTTGGTTTATGATCAACTTGAGTGCAAAGTACAATATTTATACCCTGCCGGAAACATAAGCCTAATTTACCTAATTAAAATTACCTGTGACGGGTTGACCATTGAGAGGCTCGAATCAGGTAGGATGCCTTCTCCTTATCAAAAGAAATAATAATTCAAAAAAAAAATTAGATATGATAAAATTACTAAACCTAAACTTAATTTATTTAGTTTATTTTATTTTATTTACAGGGATATGTCTTTCGGATGTTAAGATTTAAGAGAATAACCCACGTGTAAGTTAGGACTAAACATAAAAACCCTAACTACTACGTATTTATTTTCATGGTTGATCTCATTCAACGTAATTTAAACAACTTCCTAACCTAGGTTTGAAAATTACTACGAGTAAAACTTAGAAGCCAAAGGAAACTGACATTTTTATAATATTGCAAAAAACACAATCTAGTAATTTTGCCAAGCCAGACCAAACCAAACCAAGTCAACTTTTTTTTTTTTTTTTTTGACATATTGGAATTTTTTTTTTTGGCGTAAACTACGTTACATAATGAGAACTATTAAAAGAAAAAAAAAATGAGACACCTCTAGGTTTAACAATGTACCATATCAACACTTCTTTTAAAAAGTCATGCTTCAACCCTTATTTCTTCAAGAGGTATTGAAGGAAACCACACCTTAGGTAAAACCCTACGACAAGTAGGACAAGAATAATTTCCATAAAACCAAGGGATCATGCAAGCCTCATGAAATTTGTGACCACATTGCTTCAAAACCCACTTATTATTAGACTCTCCTTTCTCATCACTCTTTCTTTTACGGATGTTGTTCTGTTTGTCTAATTTCTCCAAGCAAATCGCGCACACAGTGCAATTCTTGCTCACTTCCTTTATCTTTTGTTCGTCTACAATGACTACCACTTCATTCAATTCAATACTTTCGCGGTCATAGCTATGTGTTATTGTGGCTGGTTCAAATACACGGCGGTAGAGTTCTAAGAGGTGAATAACTATGAACGCTAACAATCCAAAGAGAAACAATGCCACATATGCTTGAGTTACATAGTAATCCACAGCATTGGCGTACAGATTTCCACTATCCATGTTTGATTTGATAGCAAAATAGCAAGGGTGAGAAAATTTAATACAAGTATGCTTTTTTCATAAAATAAAATATTGTTAGGCTAGAAGCTTAAGAACACTTCTTTTTTTTTTTAATAGTAAAATTAATTTGAAACTAAAAAACATTTTATTTTTTTCTAATCCTAATCCTAATTGAGGTTGGTTTCCTTAAATTATTTTAGGCAAGTAAATATCCTTTTTATTGAAAAAAAAAACTTTTTTAAAAAAAGGGGGCATACATATTACATAGGTAGGAAGAGTGCCAATAACTAATGAGTACAGAAGCTTGTTTGAATAATTGTAGTTTGGAATAGACCTAACCTTGCTAAATTTGGAAGTGTTTCACTTCAAATTTTCAACATTATCTATCGTCGTTGTTGGTTCGTAAATCTTTGGTAATCTCATAATTTGATCCATTATGCGGTTATTGCAATGCTATATTTCCTCAAATTTTTAATATTTTGTACGAAGGATATAGATATATAGACAAATAGCACCATTTAAAACAAAAATAATATAAAGAAACGAAAGAATGAACTTCACCCACTTATTAATTCCCCAAAAATCTTTTCCGCCTCCACCTTAGTACGATGACATTTTTCGATTTGAACGTGTAAAAACATTCTGTTTTAAGATAAAAAGTACATTTCTATTTACAATTCAAAGAGTAATATCTCACATTATTTGGACTCTGAAAAATTAATTTTTTAAAAAGGCAGGTGACATTTTTATTTTATTTTTTTTTTTTTTTTTTTTTTTTTGCCGGTTGCAGAAAGATTTACAAAGAACAATAATGTTTTGATATAAATGAGATTGAACTCAAACTTTGGATATCCCTGCTAGTCCAAAAGAGAATATTCATCCGAATTCTGGGCTATAGGGCTGTAAGTACATCTCAAAAGTTTCTCTTTCTCAATCAGGATTTTCCTATAAATGGAGAAAGAAAGTTGAGTACTTGTCTATAATGATGAAAGCTCGATTTACACTTAAATATAAGTAAAACATAACTATCCCCAAAACAAAAAGACTGACCAATACCATCAAAATGTTTAGTCCATCACCGTGCAAACGAAGGATGGTAAAGACCCAGAAATAGTTGAATATCCACTTATAAAGCAAGTTTCGTTTACACCGGTTACTACCGAAAGTAGAGGCAATAACCGTGATAACAGGTAAAAAATTCTTGAGTCAAAAATATATACAATGAGGCACATCTTAAAGGATCAAACCTTGCACTGGTTCAGGCTTTGTAGGTTGTTTCTCACTCGGGGAAGAATCCTTGGGTGATGATGAAGACTTAGGGGATGATGGAGCCTTGGGGGAGTCAGATTCTGATAGATGGACCTGAGCAAAGTCATCCACCATTTTCCTCTTCTGCTCATCTTCTGCCATTCCAACTTTCTCTATCGTCTTCTGCCCAACTTCACCAGCTGCTTTTGTCACCCTGCTGAAAGCGCCAGTTACCCAGGTGGTACCAGTAAGCACATAGCGGTTCTTCATTATGGCGGACCCTGCAGTGCTGACTTTTTCCTCAGCAACAGCTAATGCTGATTTTGTTTTCTCAGAAACCTGGAATTTCTGATCCATCTCCTTCACTTTGTTGTTGACTGCAGAAGTACCCATGCTAATCTTCTCCGTAAGACCAATCTTCTGGTCAAGAGATGCAATTTTGGTAGAGGCTGTTGAAGTAAGCTGATGTTTCTCATCCAAGGATTTTGCCTTGCCAACTGCATCTTTCCCTAAGATAAAGCCCTTGGCTAGCATGCTGGTAACAACATCCTCTGCCTTTCGCAGAGCACCTTGAGCACCTCCAGGGGCATCCTGTAAATTTTGGCAACCAAAAGTTAATATCGGAAAAAGTTTGAATCATACAGATGGGACAAAGTAAATTTTGAAATCGCGAGCATTTTCTTACAGCCGGCGGTGCTAAAGCAGCAGGAGGCAACTTGTAGTCTGGATCCAAAGTTATTGTCACTGTCTTTTCAGCAATTGTTGCTCCCTGGCACAAGTACAGATTGGTTAGAAGCTGTCAATAACACAAGCAGGCCGCTTCAAGTGACTACATTGAAATGCCGGACATAAAATGCATCAATGCCTACAAGTGACCTTGTAGTCACAATGTTACATAAGCATCCAGTATAATGTGATACCAACTATAAACAAACTCCCCAACAAAAAAAAATTGAGGAACCAAAAGTAGGGAGGGACACAATTATGAAGGGGCCTCTTCTTCACTAATTTCAAAGGTACACTAGTATTATATAAAGTGAAACAGTACCCTTGTTGTGGATTAATTATGGTAATCTAACGCCATAAAAAAAAAATGCTTATGGTGAAATCCCTACTGTTAGAAAATAGTCAAAAGCAGAAGGAAATAATCATTTCTTCATAGGCATTCATTGAAAATTATTACTTTCCAAGGAAATACAGAAGAACATCAGCACAAAGCTAAGCATATCAAGTGACAAATAAATAAACCATCATCAGTGATAATCCAAATGTTATTCCTATAACCAACTGCAGCCTTCCAAAGTTAATTTTAAAATCATACTTAAGAAAAAAAGAGTACCTAAAAGTTCCATCAATGGTGATGAGGATGACAGAATATTCATACAAGAGCTCACAAATTGGTGATAATCATGTGTATTGTCATTAAATTCACCAAATACATGCACACGATATCTATAGCATGCTACTATCCTAGTATTAGCAAGAGGCTTACAATTAAAACACATAAATTCGGTGACCGCGATAACTCTTGATATTAGAATTGATAGCCTTCTAAGCACTAACAAATCTTAATCATAAAAAAATAATACAGAATATAAAATATAAAAATTAAAAATTACAACTAACAACAAAATAAAATACAATAAGGATCTCGACAGTAAACAGTTTGTAAAGAGGTTTGGAAATTGAGGTAAGAAATCAATTTGGGGGTTTTCATATATTTCTTTTTACTAGAATCACCTTCGGAATGCTGCTATGAAACTAACGCCAAGATAATAAAAGGACAAAGGATTTATATAGAGCACGCCCTCGGTGGATGAACCACATAGCACTGCATCAAAACTGTGGAGGCATGAAGCAGTGTAGTTGTGGTCTCATAGAGTTATTGTAGCATGCTATAGGTATAGCATATAGCAAGAAGTTTACACCATTAACATGCATGCAAATTGGAACAAGAGAGGAAGATGAAGCAATAGACAAAAGCACCCAGGATCCCAGGCAGATATAGCATATAGCAAGAAGTTTACACCATCAAAGAGACAAAGTCAAATGTACAAAGCTACTTGCTCTAAAAAAAATCACAGAAGGATATTAACATTGATACCAAATTTACTTGGTTTATGCAATATGGCAATTAATGCACCAAGCACAAGCAACTCAAGAGTCACACTAGGGAAGTAGGGAACTGTTAGCTTTGCATCAAAATTTACACTATCTCATATGCAAACATCAGAGTATACACTTTGCATATTCAACTTGGAGATCCATCATACACTAGCAGTAACATATAACTTACAGTTTGTCAGCATTTAATTACTCCAAGAGTGTCACAACATTACAGCCAAAACAGAGAGAGAAGATTTTATATGTTCTGCTAATATATTTCTAGAATAACTAGATAATCTATCATAACCAAGGAAATTACCGTAAGCAAAACAGCAGTTTCGGCTCCTTGTGGGTCATTGAAGGTAACATAGGCAGTTTGCGATTCTTCATTTTCACTGCAAAAGTACACAAACCATATTGTGCATAAGCTAACCACGACCCAAAAGTTAAAGGTGAATGAAAATCTACCTCTTCATCTCCAAATATACGATATCACCGGAAAAAGAAAAGAACTCCTTGAGCTCTCGCTCAGATGCCTTAAGAGATACATTGCTGACTTTAACAGTCTTAGCCTGAAACGAAAGAGATAATAATACAAGTTAACATCTTTTTCATAATTTAAAAGAAAAAAAGTTATGTGGGATGATCATACTCCAAGGATGACACTTATGCCAAATATGCATGAGTATCACATGGTCTACAACACTCCAAAGGATATCTACAGACAAAAATGAGAGAACTAACGCCAAAATTAATCTCTTCTTGTTTTCCTTTTAGGGGTATATCATAATTAAAGAGAATTAAGATTTTGAGTGGCAACAAGGAATGTAATAGGCTCAGATCAGTCACACAACAAAACCAATATAGCAGCAATGCAAGTTGTAATAGGCTGGTTGTCGGACTTGGAATTTCTGATTTTAAATTAGCGGAATAATGAAGATGTAAGCTTTAATATTGATTAATAATGGTGAAAGGGTTACAAAATAGGGTTAATAGCTTTAGGCTATCACTCTCAAAATAGCTTGAGGCTATCACTCTCTAATAATGGCTTGAGGCCATAACTCTCTCTAGGTTTCCCTAATACAATTTTCTGCCTACTCCTTTCTCCCCCCCCCCCCCCTCTACTTATAATAAGGCTTAAGACTACTAACCTAATAATACTAGACTAGACTGCCAATATTGCCCCTCCTTAAATTAGTCTATAACAACATTTACAAGGAACACAATTGCATCAAAGGAGTCTTGTAGGCTTTTAACACCACCGGATTCTCAAGGAAACAAGTTAGTTTCTCAAATCTCAAGCCCCAATATCCAATTGTATATAATGATTAAAACAAATTTATCACAGAAGGAAATATAACCCAGTGGGCAAGTGGTGTCTCACATAAAGAGTCATGTAATGCAATAAACACCAATACAAGCAATATTGCTCAACCACTAAACCAGCACCTAGACACCATGCCATCAAGAAAATCGCAAACTTATTTCGTAATGCCCATCTATTGACAAAAGACAGCACATGAAAACTATGTAAAGTTTCAATCCAAGCAGTCACCTACACTTAGAAACTGCACAATGCCTTCATTTAGTCAGAATATTAAAATGACAAAGGTTCAATAAGACTCAATACGGAGAATTTCTAGCTAAACAAGGCAGTAGCTATTTTTGTGTGTGTGTGTGCACAACTATGCGTGTATAGATAGAGAAGGCTTCTTTGCTAAAACGATTGTCTTAAGGAAATACATACAGTTCTCTACTAGCATCTCTAAGTTCAAAAGCATAAGAAGAAAAATAATCCCTCAATAGATATTTAATACAAGGTCAACCAATAGAAAAAGGAGCACAACTTTGACTAAAGATAGCATAACTCAACTATTTTTGTTCTGTTTCACCTCATCTTCAGTCAATCACATTTTATAACCCACTTTTCTTTTCTTGTTTTTTTCTTTTTTTGAGTGAACATTTCATAAATCACTATACAAATTTTGTTATATTTGATTATAATAAAATCCTACAAATGTGAAGATAATAATTAAGCCTAAGAAACAAGCATAATTTGGTCTAGTGGAGGGAGCTCCATTTAATGACCTTAAGGTCCCAAGTTCGAGTTAGTGACCATAACCAAGTTCGAGTTTGACCTTCCCCAAGCTCCAATGGTTTACGCTCGCTATTGGGCCGGGCTAAATACTAAATATAGGTTTGGCAGGCTTGGGCCCATACGCCATACATGTCAAAAATAATAGAATCAAGCTCATTTCCACCTTCTAGACGTAAACATGACTACTTCTTTCAAAAGGGCAATCGATTTTGATCAGCTAAACTGAATCAATCAATAATGCATTATAAACAGAACGAAAATGACCAAAAGCATATATTATCATTCAATTAAAAGTGACGATATTTATTTTCCATATTTTAATTAGGTAGGTATATTGATTAATTGCAAGTTTTGCAACATTACATCATCTCTTCTAAAAAAAATAATCAACCTAGTCAAACAAAACAAATGACATTTCTCCATCACTACAAATCAACCACACACAAACAACAAAAAACGAATCTAAATAATTCCAGATCTAATAATAACGAACGAACAAATTTCCAAAAACCGCAAAACCAAAAACACAACGAAATTAATCGAAACGAAAACAATAAGAAGATTAAAATTAACAAACAATGAAGAGAGAGGAAAAGGATGAATGAAAACTTACCGACATTTTTGAAATGGAAGGAAGAAATAGGAGGTTTCAGAGAGAGAAAATGTTGTGGGAGAGGAGAGAGAAAGAGAAGGGGGAGTTTTGTAAGGGGAGGAAGATTAGGAGGAGGAAGAAGAAGAAGAATTTGAATTCAAGTCTCAATAAAGTTTAGTTTTGCCGGCGAGTGAAGCACGTGAGTTGTGGGTGGGGGGTTCACTTTGTCATTTAAGCACGATCGAACCAGATTTTTCATTTTTTGTTTTTTTATTTATATTAATTACGTAATTAATAAACGGTTTTGGAGCTATTAATGGAAGAGTATTTTAATTTAATATGTGTAATAATATCGTCAGAATGAAATCTACGACACGCGGTTAGAAAAAAGGTAGGAATGGACCTACCTTTTGTTTCATCTTTTTCTCTTTTTACAGTGTTTGTTTGAATACTTGTCTTTTGTCTTTACCTCTATTTTTACTGTCATGGTTACTTGGTTAAGTGCATTTTCAGCTAATTTTTTTAGAATTTAATTGAAGAGGTAGGGAGGGAATCACCTTCTCGACTTAAATTATATGGTACAATTACATAAATAGAGGGTTTTTATGAGAATGAAATTATGAAATTTGTTTATGTGTCACGTATTATTCACCTTTATTCGTTGAGTAATTTTTAATGTATATCATTCATATGCATGTATAACTTGGTTAAATTAATTAGTTTTTTGTCACTATTGAGTACTTATTAGTGAGTAGTAGGATAATGTCTGAGATGTCAACTTTCTTTCAGTATTTAGTGTCAGATTGATTCATACATGATTGAAATAAGTAGATATGGATCAAGAAACTAGTCATTCAAGCTCAAAGCCTCCACTCGCATTTAGCCTTTGGCTGATTAAGAAATTGCGCTTCTTGTCAATTGAGAACCAAAATCAGCCTTGCAGATTAGTGGGATCACTCTATGGTTGTTTTAACTAACTTATTTCATTTATACTACAAATAAAGACAGTTGATACAACTTACAAGGCATGTGTTAATGTGTGTAATTAATTTAAAGCATGCTAAAATTTAGATTTTATTTGAGTTGTGTTTGAGAGTATATCTATGGGGTATTTTAAAAATAAATTAAAATAAAATTTGGGTTGAATTATTTAGAGTATTCGAGACAAATTTCATGTTGTTTAATTAGTGTGCTTAGGCAAAGGTGTTGCAATTAATTAAACAACGAATAGAGCATGAACAAAGCAACGAAGCAGCAGTGAAGCTCGCTCGATCGAGCTAGGGCAGCCCGATCGAACGCGAGAGTGAAGATGAAAATCGCTGATTCACCGCCCGATCGAGCACCACAATTCGATCGGGCCCGCATGATGAATTGGGAACTGGCAGCCTCGTCGTTCGATCGGGCAGCCGCCGCTCAATCGGGCCCGAGTGCTCGCGATTTCTGTAGAATATGCTCGCCCGATCGGGCTCGGCCATTTTATGGGTTGATGCTGCTTTGTGTGGCGGTTAATCTCGGTGGTTCTTTGCTCTATAATTATATACTATATATATGATGGAAGTTAGGAAATGAAAAGTAAGATCAGTAACTTCCATTTTTCATTCTCTGATTTTTCAAAGTTCTTTAATTATCATTATCACAAACACTTATTTACATTGTATTGTAATCATCCTACTTGTGATTGCAATTGGCCTTCATTGTATCTCCTGAATAAATTTTCATGATACTTGGTTGTAGTATAGGGTCGAAATTATACTTTTGTTAAAGGAGTCATTGTAAATATACACCGGAATACTTATAAGCTTTATACAAACCACTTTGTGAAGTCTAGGTTGAAATTTGTTCATAATACCACCATTATTTAATTAATTGAACTTACTTGAACAATAAAGATGTTGTGTACCATGTTAAGTTAACCCAAAATCGAAGTCAAGTCATATATCCTACACTAACTCGCAACGAATTTACTCGAAACTATAGATTCATCTGATCCAAAACTCAACCCACCAACCTATTCGATGAATGCACATGCATCTAGCTTTTTTTTTTCCCCTTTCTTTTACATAGTGTTGTTGACATGGTTTTATACTGCCCTAACAAACTCTAACTTAACTAAGCCTGACAAAATTGCCTATACCTGATTACTTGATTCAAAGTACTCGATTCGAAACCCAAGCTTTACTCAAAATTAGACTACCCACATTTGACCATATTTGAATCAACTTGACTCGAAGCGAACCATAAATCAGTTTTGTATTAGTTATTTCATTAAAATACGCAAATTAACGATATAGTTGATAACGACCCAATTAATATGAGCAAAAATAACTTGAATTATAATCAATTCAAATAACCCAATTACCACGTCTGAATTTAAAAACTTACTCCAAACTTGAGCTCGACTTGGATTAACAAATCACTCACAACATCCCAAACAAACCTTATAAATACTACTGTGTATTGTCATATTATGCCAACTTGAATTTCAAATACTCCTAAATCACAACCACATTACACCAAACAAATTGTAGCTAGTACGTGACAGATGTCATGATCTAGTTGGATTACAAAACTCACTAACTCCCCTACATTCCTGCCACATGTATCTCCGCGGGTCCACGTAAGACCTGGCTTCACCTGGCCGGCGGGAACCCCTCAATTTTTCACAATTAAAAAATTAAACCAAACCAAAAAAAAAAAAAGAGAAAAAAAAAAAAAAAAACCCTTTTCACATTCTTCATCTTCTTCAACTTCCTCAATTATCGCAACTTTTTCCTGCAATTCTGAAAAGTTTTCCCAGATTTTCCGATCCTTTTTTTTTCTTTTTTTAATCAAATCCCCCAAATTTTTTCCTTGTTTGGGAGGATTGATTGAAGAGGAAAAAGGGGAAATTGGTGAGGAGAGAGAAAATCGAGATGAGCTTCCAAGATCTTGAAGCGGGTCGTCGGCCATTGGCGTCGAGACGTGATTTGATAAATGCAAAGCAAGACTCAACTCAATCCGTCGCTTCTGGAATCTTCCAGATTAATACCGCTGTTTCTTCCTTTCAACGCCTTGTTAATACCCTTGGCACCCCCAAAGACACCCTTCAACTTCGTGAAAAACTGTATGTCTTCTCATTTTACCCTCAATTTTGGTTGATTTTGTGGTAATTTTGATGTGTTGTGATTTGGTGTAATGTATTTTGGTCAAATTTTGGGGAATTGTCGTTTTGATTTTGTAAATTGGATGATTTTGTGGTTAATATTGCTGGGGTTTGTGTGAATTATGATGGGTTTCGTGTTAATATTTCTGGGTTTAGCTCTTTTTGAGGTTTGATTACTTTAGTGTTTATGCTGTGCAATTCTGTAGTGGTAATGTGGCTAGGTTAAGGCGTTAAGCTCAATGTGATTTTTGGTTGGTTATATTTGTAATGGTTTATTAATTTGCTGAGGAAAAGAGAGAATTTCGCCAATGAACAAGCGATTCTGCTGTCACTTTTACTGGTTCTTGTTGTAATTTGTGTGGATTCAGCTCTTTATCTGGCTTGGTGTATTGTGCCATTGTGGTTTGCTATGCTATCGGTTGAAACATGTGAAATGTGTGATGTTGTTGTGAAATGGTTGGGTTTTGTCAGTTGAGCTATGGTGGGGTTTGTGATGATTGTGGTTATAAGAATCAGTTCTCTTACTTGCAAAAACACACTCTTACGGGTGAACTTGATTCCTTAGTTTTTGGCAAACAAGTTTGTTATTCTAGGACCTTGGGGGGTTACAAGGTAACTTGATTGGATGAACTTCGGTAGGTGAGATTTTGGTTTCATCCGTCGGTTGATTAATTATGATTATGAGTTGAGGAGCTCCTTTTGCATGTACCAATTCAGGGGTTGGTTGGAATTAGTGAGTTTCTACAGTTACATGTTGTGGGTTGTGTGATAGATCTAGTAATGGGTGTAAATTAGTTGATGTATTCTTGCAGAGGCAATTTTATAGAAGTTATGATGGCGTTGACCTAGAATTTTTGCATGCTAAGATTGCTAAATACTAAGCTACTAGCAATGTAGCATAGTTGCTTGGGAAGCGTGCTTGAGGTTTTGTTAACTGTTAAGTGCTTAAGTCTGGTTTAAAGAAAGAAGATACATTGCTGCCACTCAGATTTTTCGTTTTACATAATGGAAACCTAGACTCCTAGAGCTACGATTCTATTCGTAGTGATTCATGTGGGATTCAAATGGTCGAATTGCAATGTTTGGCTGCTGAGGCAACAGATTTTTTCCCTGTCTCCAGTGGATACCATAAGCACTCATCAAGGTTCACTGCGCTTGCTTTTCTTGTTGACTGTAACTCTTTTTCTTTATCTTAAAAACCTGCAAGGATAATACTTCGTGACATCGGTAGATTCTTTACATGGTTTACAAGGCTGGTTGATCTAGAAACTTAAAAGGACCCTATTAATTTATTAGCACATACTGGATAGTTTATTTGCTAGACTAGGCGAAATGAATGGAGAAATGCAGCTCATTTCAACTTTATTAAGCGTGAAATTGGTTTACCCTTGATTCATGCATTTGGAGTATTTACTTGTTTATTTCTGTAAAAGATGATGCTAAGGGCCTTAGGCTAATTTTGTTCAACTTATTTTGTTTGTAATTAATTTATTTGAACTTATTTGAAATTATCTGATTTTGTTTGAAAAAAAATTATTTTGTTTGAAATTGTCTTATATTGTGTGATTTTGTCTGAAACTGTTTGAATAAAAGAAAGCAGGCACATTTTCATTAATTAGCAATTCAGGTGTAGGATTGTGCTGCTTCTCCTCCTTGTTTTCTTCTGTAATTTTACAAAAAAAAAAAATCATCAAAATGGTAGTCCTCCAATCCTCAGTTATTGGGATGATTAGAGTTAATTCCATTAAAAAGGATGTGAGGAGTGACAAAGTAACTGTGCCTGGGGACCACAGAGACTAGTCAAACTACTAGATTCGTTCTATATGCCATGGTCATGTATGCTGTCTCTGCTTCTTTGGTTTTGCACTGATTTTCTTTTGGTACTGTTCTATTTTTCTGAACAGTTGAATGTAAAATTTACTTTCAGCTATCTCTTGATACTATTGGGAGGTTGAGACTAGTCCTATTTTTGAAAACTTTTCTACAATATGTGGGCTATTTCTCAATATATAGCGTGACTTGGCCTCCTTCACAGTTCACATGTGACTGTTTTGAATTAGTCTTCTCTAAACTTTGTTTCATCCTGTTAATAGCCACAAAACAAGGTTACATATTGGGCAATTAGTAAAGGACACTTCAGCTAAACTCAAGCAAGCAAGTGAGACTGATCACGACAGTAATATCAGTGTAAGTTTATTTTCTACACTTCAGGTTCTTTGAGTGTGTTCCTTCCTTAAATGGGTATTTACACTTTCCTGAGCCAAAAT